ATAATTCAGGAGCAAAATAGGTTGTAGTTCCAATGTGTGTTTTTGCTGCTTGTGTTTGGTCTATTATTCTACCAAATCCAAAATCAGCTAATTTAACTTTTAAATTAACTCCACAAAGCATTACATTCTCTAACTTTAAATCTCTGTGAATAATATTATTTTCGTGAAGATATTTTAATGCACTAAATATTTGATACATAATAGTCTTAATCTTTGCTTCACTCATTCTTTTTTCTTTCTTTAATGCATCAAGTAATTCACCCCCACGTACATATTCCATGATAATATAAAGATATTGGTTTGTTTTAAATACCCCTTTCATCTTAACTATATTTTCATGATTAGTTTTTCTAAGTACTTCACTTTCTCTTCTACCAGACTCTTCAGCTGATCCTTTTGTTCTTGTTATCTCTTTCATTACATACTCTTCTTGTGTTTCTTTTTCAATAACTCTTCTAACAATTCCAAATGTCCCTTCTCCAATATATCCTTTAACTTCATAATGTTCAAAAGGTCCTCCTTCTTCAATTTGTTTTTGTTTAAACTCATTATCAATAAAAACATATGAAATATGTTCTTTTAATCCTGGATCAAGAAGTGTTAATGTATCAAAACAATGTATTTCTTCTTGAACCCCTTTTCCAAGATATTTTCTATTGATAAATGTCCCATTAATTGAATTATCTGTAATGAAACAATGAGACAAATTTTCATTTGGTGTTGTAACTCTTGTTATTATACAATGTTTGTGACTAATTGATTTTTCTTTTGACAAACAACAAAATTTATTTGAACGACCAATCATTGTTTCATTCTCTATTAGTAATAAAGATGGAACTCTTCCTAATGAACAAAGCACTCCCCACTTTTTATTCATAAATAACTTTGGAAATGAATAATTTTTGCTAAAATCCTAGGGTTTCTTCTTTTTTTTCTTCAGAGTAATTTTGCTTATGAAAATAAAAGAATTATCACGTGTTTGTGGTAATGTGGATAAAGTCAAAGAGGTTAAATTCTTCTTTATATACCATCCAATTCAGGTTAATTTTATTAAATAAGATTTAATAGAGTATAAGAACCTCTTAAAGAAATTGTTACTTATAAAGTAAAAGAGACAATTCAATACTTTTCAAATCCAATTATTATTGAAGACTATTTTTTTAAAATGGAATGTCTTGGAATTTTACTTGGAAGTTATATTAAAAATTTTTAACAAGAAATTAGGACTAATGGAAGTTATCTCATTACAAAAAAATTTAATAATTTTTGAATTAATATATGATAAAATATAAATTCAAAAATTCATATTCTTACAGAAGTTGAAACAAGAATTTTAGTATATTCATAAGAGATTATAGGGTTTGGATATGAAACAATACTTCAAACAATCAATTTATTAAGCATTTATACAGTGATGAGTTATAGACAAAAGTTAATAACTTCTTTTATGGAAAAAGTGTATTGACAGTTAATTAATTTCTTAGTGAATGTTAATTCTAAATAAATATTAAATTATTAGTTATTTTTATTTATAAATTATTCAAAAAATTTTTATAAAACATAATATAACTCTTTCAATTATATTAAAAACTTCTCTTACGTTTGAAATTTTTAATAATTCTTGATTTTCGGCGTTGTTCTTCATTCTTCTACAAATCTAAAGAACTTCAAAAAATTAGTATGAGTCTTATTTTACTTATTTCATTATTATTTATTAATAACTCATTAGCTACTCCATGCAATGAATTAGAAATGAATAAAGTATATACAGTAGAACAAGCATTTGAATGTATTGAATCAGTAAAAGTAAATAGAACAGTTACTGAAGCAATTAAAAAAGATATTACTGCAATTTTTGAAACATATGTTTATAAAGATATTTTACTTTCACCACCAGCTATTAAAGGAAAAGCTGATTATTACCAAAAAGTGGATATAGATAAATTATTAAAAGAATTGGATACTACAGAGACTTCTATGTATTCTTTTTATCAAAAAATTGAAAACATCTTTTTTGCTACTCATGACCTTCATTTAACTTTTAGAATTAGTTCTAATAATGAATTTAAATATTATTTTGATAGTTTTTATGCTGTTTTACCATTCTCTATTGATATTATTAATGAAGGAAAAGATGTTATTTTAATTCCATATGATACTCTTACTCATTATGGTGTAAATCTTCCACAAGAAATTATTGATAATAGTAAAGTCCCAGTTCAAAGTATTAATAAAATGAAACCACTTGATTGGATTCGTAAATATGCAGAAGAACATACTTTTCTTAAATCAAATCATGGTAGATTTACTTATGCTATTGAGTCTATGTCTAACCAAAAACTTACTTCAATTCCATTTGAAAAAAGTTTCTTATCAGAGTCTATTGATATAGTATATTCTAATGGACAAACAGTATCTACAAGATATTCAATGTTATATAAACCATTAGTTTCATTAACTAAAAAACAACAAGAAAAGATTAAAGCTAAAGAAGAAGGTAAAAATATGAAACCAATTAGTTTAAATGATTTTATTGATTTAAAACAAGACTCAAATACTTTTGATTATGAGTCATTAGATAAAAATATTGCTTGTAAAACATTTAAAGAAGATGGAAAACAAACAATTAATATATTTGTTTTAAAAACTTTTTATCCAGAAACAGAAGTTGATAACTTCTTTGAAACATTTGATAAATGTATTGCTCAATTTGATGAAAACGATGATCCAGTTGCTATGATTTTACCAATGAATGGTGGAGGGTATGGAGATTTAGAAAGTAATATTGAAAATTTACTTGCACCTTATGAAGATACTGCATTAATTGGAAGTGTTAGAATATCACCAGGAGCTGAGAATTGTATTAAACATGAATATGGTAGTGGAATGTATGATCCAATGAATTGTACATCAAGGTACAATATAACTGGAAACCTTTCAATTCCACTTGGAGAATTTTATACAAAACCAGTTCCTGTAGTATATGGAAATAATGTTACACATATAAAATCACAAGTATCTCTTCTTGTTCCAGAAACAATGCTTGCTTCAAGATTTACTAAACATCCAAGAAATCCAAATCAAATTATTCTATTTACTGATGGATTTTGTTATTCAGCTTGTGCATTATTAACAAAAGGAATGTGGGAAAGAGGAAGTGCTATTATTGTTGGATATGAAGGAGATCCAGAAGGTGATGTAGAATGGTTTGATGCAGGACAATCACCAACAGCTGTTATTGGAATGGATGAAATGTTTTTACCTGAAGGAGATGATTTAGCAAGATATGGAGGTTTTATGAGAACTAGTTTTTATGAATATTTCGAATGGAATCTTGATTATAATAAAGAAAGTAATCCAAGAGAATTTACTCTTTCACCAATTGATGAACGAGTTCAAATTTACAAATATACTGAAGATAAGTTAGAAGAGTTTGTAAAAGAAGCAAGAAAGATCTTTGAAAAATATGAAAATGGATGTAATCCTAAAAATAAAATGCTTACTAAATATAGTTCTGAGTGTGACAATCAAATAACAGTCGAACATGGTCAGGAGGATTTATTTGTGGTGATGATGGAAAATGGTCTAATATATGTAAAGTTTCGTATTGCGATCATGGATATAAATGGGATGAATATAATCAAAGATGTATTGAAGATGCATGTTATAAGACAACAGATAATGATGATAATAATAAAAAAGAATGGATTATTATAATAATCTTTATAATTGCAGTAATAGTAATTGGAATAATAATAATAGGAATAGTATTTGTAGGAGTTTATTTGAGTAAAAGAAAAGAAAAAGGATATATTCCAATCACTAATTAATTAAAAACAGCAGTTTTTTTTCATTTATTTAATTTTAGTATTTTTTAAAGAAGTTAAAAGAAAGAATATTGAGGTTATTTTCAAATATTTTTGTTTTTATCATCTATCTCTTTTTTTTCAAAACTAACTAACTAACTAAGTTTGAATACAAAAAAATTCATTTATTATTCAGTTATTATACAAAGAGGAATCATATTTTGTGTTATTTAATCAAATTGATGAACAAATGAGTTCAAACAAGGATCATTTTTTGAGATAATAATTGATGTGTTATTTGTTGTGAAGATTGAGTTGATGTATTGATTAACTTTCTTTCCTACAGTTTCAATTCTTTCTTTGTTAAATAACACTTTACCATTTCTTATAATAAAATGGATCGTTTCACCAAGAGCATCTTTATCACTTGGCTCTTTTTTTTTCCTATGTTTTCTTGGAGAAGGGGCTTTTGATAATAGTACATAACCGAATTCACTTAATAAATCACAAAGAATATTTAATGAAAGGATAAATCGATAATTTTCACTTCTTCTTGTTGCTGTTTTAGGAACTACTCCTATTGATACTTCATAGTTCATCCGTTGTTTAACAAGTGTTTGAATTAATTTTGAGAATGAAATACTATCTTCATTTGAAAATATTAATGATTCAATAGGAAGAAATTGCATAGTTACTAATGCTTTTTTAGCTGGTTTGTGAATTTGAATATCACAAAATTCATTTAAACATGCAAGAAAGATAGCTTCTTGGCATGTTTGATAATTTCGCCATTTGATAAACTTCTCTTTTGAAGAGAGTTTCCCGTGGCCATGGCTCATGGAGGTGATAAATCTGAAAAAGGTGTAAAGAATAGATATAATTGCCACGGTTAGAGATTCAAAACGATTGTTTAAATTCGATCTTTGCACTCTTTTTTTTCCTCTCTTTTTGAATAATTTTAAAAAGAAACAAAATTAGTTTTAATTTTTTTTTTGGATACCTTAAAAACTGAACATCATTATCTGTTATTGCAAATGTATATTTTATGGATTTACTAAAAATTCACTTATTTTTCATTGTCATTTCAAAAAAAAGAAAAAGCAACTTTCTTCGGAGGATTTTGATTTAAAAGTTGTTCGAATTGAGATTAGTTACAGTTCATATCTTAAAAACAAACTTTAAAATAACCAATTATCAATCAATATAATTTAAAAATGGATGATTCAATGCATTAGTACAAGTTATTCTCTTTTCAGGATTAAGACATAATAGTTGAGTACAAAAATCTAAAAATTGAGGATGTCTTGAATGATCAATAAGTCTCTAATTAATGAGTTAATTACAAATAGACAATGATTTAATTTATTAAAAAAAAGTAACAAACATGAAGTGGTGATGGATCAAAATTATGAGGTGTTTCACAAATGACATACCCTGATTTAGAAAAATAATGACTGTCATGAGATAATATATGTGGAAACTTTCCTAATACCATTTCCATTTTTAATAATTGTTCTCTTTCACTTTTTCCTGTAAAAATTTGATAACCAATGTACATTTCTAATAATGTACAACCAACACTCCAAAGATCAGTTGCATATGACCACCCATCTTGAAGTAACATTTCAGGTGAACAATATGGACGAGTTCCAACAGTACTAAAATGCAATCTATTTTCAGAGAAAGTAGCTAATCCAAAATCTATTACTTTTATTTCATCATGTATTGGAATTCTTGTATGTTGGTACTAAAAAAAATAATTATTTCTATTTTATTTAAAGAAAATACGTTAAACAAACTTTTACAATATCAGGATTTGCACAAGTATCGTCAGTAATTGTTACAACTTCATAAGCATCTTTTTTTAACATTATATTTTCTGGTTTTATATCACAATGAATAATTCCTCTAGAATGAAGATATGAAAGAAATTGAACTGTTTGACGAGCAACACTTCTAATAAAACTCAAAGAATAAGGTATTTCTCTATTGTCATAAAGAAAATCATATAAATTAATTCCACCAAGTTCTATTACCATATAATCTCTTTTATTAAATGTAAATGAGTCAAGGTATTTTATTGCTATACTATAATATCAATATTTATTTATTATTTATTATTATATTAATATAAAATAAAGTGGATTGAAGTAAATATTCATATTTTATTAAAGCGTTAATAACTAATGTAATTGTAATACATATTTCTTCTTCAAAAAAATTATTAGAAATTAATTATTTTAACTAGTATTTTAAAGAGAGAACGTTCATTTTATTTTAACAATTCTCTTCTTAATATTAACACAAGAAGCTAATAAGATAATCCAATAAATTGATGATTCAATTAATACTAATAAAATTGGCTAATGGTTCTGGTTCAATCAGTGAATATTAAAAGCAATTAATAATTTATTCTAAGTAGTTTTCCTTTTATTTTTAAAGTAAAAAATAATAAATGGTTTTCTATACCATAGGAAATATTATCAACCCACAGTTTAATAATAACAAAAGTAAAATAAAACAAACTTTGCTCTTGGATCTGTTGCAGATGCAAGAATTTTCATTATTTCTATTTCTCTTCTATCATCAAATCCTTTATCTGAAATCATTTTAAGTGCAACTTGACAACCACTCAATTGATCATAACACTTCATAACTTTAGAAAACCCTCCCCTACCTAAATATTCATTAATAATATAACGATTGTTGATACAGTTGTTTTTTTCTGCCATTTCTCTGTAATACATTTTTTTTTTTCGTTTTTACTTTTCTATACAAAAAATTTTGAGTTCTTTTTATATTCTTTTATAATTTATTTTATTATTTTTATCTATTTAATTAGTAAAACTTAAAAATCAACTTATTGAAGAAAAAAAAATTTAATAAAACTAAAAAACAATAAAAAAGAATAACAAAAATGAGAGTTTTAATCCAATTATTATGTTGGATTGTCTCATTTATATTACCAAGTTGGATCGAATTAAAATGGTCTAATGAAGGAATTTGTTTTTTATTTAAATTAAATAAAATAGTTTCTTCAATTCAAATTAAAGATATTAATATCCACTTTTTGAATAAAATGATAGTTATTGAAATAATTAATATTAAGGGATGGAGTAATTTTAATAATATTAAAGAATTAATTCAATTTATTCAACAACAAGAAAGAAATGAAAAAACAAAAAAATGGTGGAAAGTAATGATAGAAAATGTTATAAGTTTTTGTATTCAATTTATTATTAAACACCAAATTATTAAAGAAATTTGTTGTTCATTAAATCAAATTAATTTAAATTTAAATAAAATGAATATTCATGAAAAACATTGTACTATTACATTTGATATTTTTAATATAAAAGGAACTATTCAACATCAAAACATTGAATGTTATTATCAAAATGTTGAATTAATTATTCAAGGAAAAGATATTAAATATGAAATTGAAAATAATTTATATATTATAACAATGGATAAAGTAAGTATATTAATGAATAGATCAAAAATTGATTTTTGTTGTATTAAATTAATTTATAAATATTGTCTTCATATTTATCTTCAAAAAATTGATTTACATTCACAAGACTTATTAATTCCAATAGAAAATACTATTTTATTAAAAAATAATACAAATGAAGAAGTTTGTATTATAGATTTTTATAATAATATTGTTCTTTTAAAAATATTACAAATAGAAATGAAAAGTATTATTTCATCTTTTATTAATATTCTTATTGATTTTATTCCATTAAAAGTTTTTCAAAATGTATTTTCTCATAGTATTTCAAAAAAAGTTATGGGTTTTATTAATTCAATTATATTAAAATTAAAAATATCTTCAATATCTAAAGTTGAATATGAATTTGAAAGTAACAAAATTTTATTTAATGATAAAAAGGTTGATTTAAATATCAATTCATTAATTAATTCATGTTCTGTTTCATTTATAATTAAATCAAATAAAATTCCATTAATTAAATTAAATCAAATAGAATTAAATATAACTAATGATATGATTATTCATTGTAATATAAATACAAATAATTTAATGGTCAATAGTTATACATTATATCAAATTGCTCATAGCTATTTAGAATTTACAAATAATATTTATTTTATGTTATATAAAAAGTATCAATTTAAATTTAATTCATTTAATAATAAATCAAAAGAAAATACTAAAAAAGAAATTCTTATTCCATCTAATTATTCAACACAATTAAACTTACTTCCATTAAAGGAGGAAAATAATACATTATTTATTTATAATAATACTTTATGGATTAAAATTAAATCATTTTTAAATCATTTACATTTTGAATTCATAAAATCTACAATAATATTAACTGATTGGAATTTATCTAATAAAAAAGAATCAAATACTCATGATATTATATGTGTTCTTCATCATTTTAAAGAAACTGTAAAAGAAATAACAATTGGTTCTTTTAAAGTCAATTATCAAAATAAAAATATTACATTAAGAAATATAATAATAACTCTTATACCTTTATATATAATAATAGAATCATTGTTTATATCTATTCCACCTCAATTATTTGATTCTTTATTACAGAAATTAAAAAATATACTTTCATATTTTCTTCAAGAAACTTATACATTTAAAAATTTATCTTCTATTCCAATGAAAATTCTTCAAAATGATCATTGTATTGATTTTAAACCTAATAGTGTGATTAAATTAAATAAAGTTAATGAAATTTCATTTATTATTTATGCTCAAAAATATACATTCTTTTTTCCACCATTTAATCAATATTTTCATTTTAAAGATATTCCATTACATTTTTATTATTATTCTCATACTCTTATTTTATATTCATCTTCAATTATTCAAAATTTATTAACAATACCACTAACATTATCTTTTCCTTCTATTTCTTTTACTTTACAACCAAATCAAACTATTGGACTTGATGACATTTTATTAAATCAACCACTCTCATTTCAATATGACGTTTCATCATTTAAATTTCTTCTTCCTTGTTTAAGGTCAATAACAACATCATATCATGACATTGCACATTCTTTGCAAATTATTAATTCTAATGAACCAATTCCTTTATTATTAATTAAATCAATGAAAACAATAAAAAATGCACTTCCTTATCCTATTATTCTTAAATCAGTAAATGAAACACCAACCCATATTGTTATTAAACCAAAAACTGAATTTACATTATTTCCACATTCTGGATTTATTTATACACTTTCTGTTAATATAAATGAAATTGAATTCACAAATATATCAATGGCAAAAGATGAGTATATTCAAGTTAATGACACTATTGTTCATCTTTTGAAACATGCAAATTGTATATGTTTTTATTGTAATTTTGTATTAAGTAATTATAGTGGATTATGGTTAAATTATTGTCCACATAAGAATTATTTATTTAATACTCCAAATATTAGATTTTTGAGAGAAATTATAATTAATGATATTAGTGATATTTATATTGGAATAAACGATGGGTCTTATGAAAAATTAAATCAACAATTTAGGTTAGTGTCTAATAATTATGAATATTTCTTTTCTACATCAATTACAACATGGTTTGAAGATATTAAATTAAATATTAAAACAAAAGAAATTATGATTAATTCATCATATCGAATACATAATGCTAGTGAGACGGTAGTAACTATATGGTCTAATAATTATCAAGAATATATTAATATTAATGAAACAATTGTTATTCAAAAACTTGAACGTACTCAACCAAAAATTTTAAAATTTGGTATTCTTGGAGGAAAAAATTCAATAGGACTTTGTTGGAGTAGATCATTTGATATAGATGATATTTTTAATTATCCTGCAACAATACCAATTGTTGGAAGTACTAAAACAATTCATACTCGAATAGAAAAAGGAATATTAGTACTTGATATAAATGAAGAAAATGAATGGAGTTTTATTAATAATACTAATATTCTTCTTACATGTAAACAAAAGAATCAAAAGGATAAAGAACAAAAATTAAAAATTTATAAGAAAAGTGAACTTAAATTTAATTTAGATAATCCATTTGGAGAACGTATTATTAATATTCAATATTATTATAAAGGAAGTATGAATAAATTAGATGAAATATCTCTTGATGAAACAAAACAATATAAACAAATAAAAAACAATATAACGTTTTATATTAAAGTTATGAGAGAGCCATCAATCATTATTGTTTCTAATGAAATAATAAATAAAAAGAGTGTTGAAGTATTTAAAATAAATACTATTGCAGTGGATTGGGGATTTATTGGGCAAATGAAAAATATTTCAATTAAAATTGAATCATTATCTAAACTAGTTCCAAGTTGGTGTAAAGAAAAAATTCCTTTGGAAGAATGGAAGTTAGAGTTTTATATCAAAAGTATATCCATTAATGAAAAACAAATGGAAATAATTAGTACATATGATAAATTACAATGTGAAATAAATATGCATAACTTTTTAATTAAAGGAATTATTCTTAATCCTCCTGACATTAATATCATTCTAACTGAACAAATCATTCAAAAGATTGTAAAACTTCTTCCAAATGAAAAAGATGAACATTCACAAATTCAACTATTCCCTGTATTTATTGATAATTTTAATATCCATTTTTCTATGACGGATTATTCTTTACTTTCTAATATTAATCTTTCATTCCCTCATTCTAATTTTCCTGCTTTACCACTAAATAAATTGGTACATTCTCTTTATTCTTTCTATAAATCACAAATCCTTCGTCAAACTTTCTCAATTGTAACTTCTGTTTTAGTTGATCATTTCCCATTAGAAGTAATCTACCAGTGTATCCATGCATTTTTCCCTTCAAACTAAGATTCTACCTATTTACCATTATATCTGAAATACTCTTAAATCAAACCAGTTCACAACCTTTCTTTTTCTATTTTTTTTTATGTTTCTTTATTATTTCTTCTTTTTCTTCTTCTTTTTATTGATTGTCTTTGTGAAAATATAAATAATACAAAATTAAATTATGTATCATTATTTCATTTAATTTATACTACTCTCTAATTATTAGAACATTAATTAATAAACTAAGTAAATCATTTATTTTGACTTGCAAATTTCATTCCTTACACAGAAATTATGACTCTTATAAATTTTCTTTAATAATAGATAATAAGTTATTTTATCAATTCCTAAACTACAATACAATAAGTAACACTAGATAGATTGATAAAGAAAATGTAAATATTGTTTAAACCACCTTTTTTCATAAAAAGAGTTTAACACAAAAATAAAACAGAGTGATAAGATAATTGATTATTTCTTAATCTTTTTTGAACTATTGTAAAAATACTATTAAATATTTTTATATATTAAACTAAAAATTATTATATTCCTATTAATTATTTCAGTTATAAAAGATATTATATTATAATAATTAGATGAATTTAAATTATAAATTAAACTATTTTATTCTTTTCATTTTTAATATTTTGTAGTTATTTATTAGTGTTACGTTATTAATAAGAATTATATATTGCTTAGAGAATGACTAAATTATGAATAACAATCTATTAGGTATTGTTATATATTCCTTTAATTTTATAGACGTATCTTACAATATGAGAATCTAGATAAGAATAAACAATACACTTGAATTATTGTTGTTGTTGAAGTTGACTCTTTAATTGAGTATTTCGTTTTTCTTCTTTTTCTAATTGAGCTCTAAGAGAATTGAATTTATCATTAAGTGTTTTAAATTTTTTCTCAGAAAAGAATACAGAGTATTGAAGAGCACTTTTATAAATATCTTTTAATTGTTCATCAGTATATTCTTCATCATTAAAATTAGAAGAATTTATCAAGGCTATCATCTCTTTTCCTTTTTGAATTTGGTCTTCATTTAAATCAATAAAATTATCATTGAATTCTTGGTTAGACATGATGAATGAATAAAAACAGTTTTAGGGTTGTAAAAAAACTTTTTCAGTTCATAGTAAATGGCAGAAGAACAAGAATATGATATAGAAATAAATGGACTTCAAGACTTTGACTTAGTCACTAGTGTTAATTTTAAAGAAGAGGATTATGAGTTAGATGAATATGTTGACATTTTAATGTCTGCATATGAGTATCATGTTATGGATTCAATAAGACGATTTAAAGAAATGGAAAGAGGATTAGAATTAGTTGAACAACGACTAAAAGAAATTCAAAAAGAAAATGAAGAATTAGAAAAAAAAATAATTAATTGAATCATATGTGAATTTCTACTTGATGAGAAATACCTTCTGAAACAAAATAATAAACTTTATAAAGAGGATCATCTTTCCATGGAATCATTAATAAAACTGGTATATCAGCAAATTTAGTTTTTAAAATCCATGAAGAAGACTCAATGAAAAATGCATTATTTTTTGGTTTTGTATGAGGTTTAACAAATGAGTCTTTTGTTTTAATTATAAATTTATCTATATCAGAATTTTTTACTTGTTCTATACACATAACCAAACCAGATTTATTTAAAGATGGTGGTAATTGCATTTTATATAACTGTAATGAATGTTCTTTCTTTAATTGAATTGTTGTAGTGGTTGAGAAATATTCTAAAACTAATGGTTTTGTTTTATCATAAGAAGTAATATCAACACTAGTTATATAAACACCTTCTTTTATATGAATTCTATCAAAAATAGAAGGAGAAAGAACACATTTAATTTTTGTTGTTTCTTTAGGATCAAGAATAAGAAGTTCATCATTTTCTTTTGCTTTTAAACCATTCCCTCTTCCAAATATTAATGCTTCTTGTGTATCTTCAATAGTTAAGGGATAATCAACTCCTTTTTTAATTTTATGTACAACAGCAGGTTCATTATCCCCATCATTAATTAAACAAATAACAGCTTCTGGATTATTTGTTTTATACTTAATAAAGAGATATTTTTCAAATGAATAATAAACACAAGAAACATCTTCAATAAATATTCTTTTTTGTTCCAAAGCAGTGATATTGAAATTCATTGGCTATAATATTATTTTTATTTAATAATATTAAATAACAAACAAACTTCAAATGTTGTATCAACATTTAACTTTTTAAGTTGGGTTAATCTTTCTAAGTCTTTAATGTATTGAGGAGTTTGTTTAATAATTTCATTTTCCTTTTGAATTTCATTAGATCGTTGAATAACTTGATTTAATTGAGTTTTTAATTCATTAAAAGCATGTTCTATTTGATTTGATGTATTGCAGATTGTATCAACTTTTTGTTGGAGCCAATCAATTAAATTATTTTTATTTCCATTAATCAAAACCACTGTGAATGTATTAATATAATAGTCTTGGTTTTCATTTTCATGTTGTTTTATGTTTTTAATATCACCTCTTTGAATTCTTTTAATAAAATGGTTTTGGTTATTCATCAATTGTAAAACATCAATAATATCATTATTAGGTAAAACAATTGTGTTTTTTCCTATAGTAGAATAAAAAAGAGTTTTACCATCAACCCAAATATCATCTTTTTGTTCTATTCGAATAATATAACTCTGATTATTATTGGTGATTGTTTCAAAGTCTTTTATTCCACTTTTTATTTCAATATACTCTTCTTTTCCATTTTCTTCTATTTTTTTCTTTGTTCCAATAATACTATCTTCAACAGATATAAATATAACTTTTTTCTCTGCATTAACCAACCGCTCTATCTTTTGTCTTAGTATAACATTTTCATTTTTTAATTTTTCATACTCCCCTGAACTATTTCCTCGTCTTCGAGGACTTAATCCTCTCATACCAATAGTGAGTCTTGGTGATTGGTTTGGACTATCAAATTGATTACCGACATTCCCACAAAAAGAGTATGTCATCAATAATCGTTGAAAAGTAGGTAATTTAAGTATATCACCAATAATTTTTTCGCTTATTGAATCACTTAAGTTTTGCTCTTTCAACACTGACCCAAGTTCCACAATGAGTTGTTGCATAAAATAATTAAAATTTTTTGTTCTGTTTTTAACCTTTAAAAATCTGAAAAAGGAAAAGTTCAAACCACACTTTTATCATTAACGAAATAATAAATGATTGAAGAAGGGGAAGTATATTATAGAAAGGAAGTAGGATTAGAGTTTGAAAAAAAACTATAATTATATTATTATTAAATCATATTTATACTATACTTTGTAACACTATTTTTATCTTATTTTTATTTCTTTTATTATTAGAATAATATCTATATTTGTTATTCTTGTTATTTATTATTTTGGATGATAATGAATCATTTCATTTCACTGTTTCATATCCTTATTTATTTCATTCTTTCTCAAATGCATATTTTCATTCATTAAACATAAAAACATTTTATTCTAAAGAGTTAATTAATAAATTAAAATAATTTTATCATTCTATTCTATTACATTTAAATGAAATGAAATACTGTTATTCATTAATTATTTAATTATTGTATTGAATATTCAAAATAATATGTTCATTGAAAATAATGAATGAACAAATATATTATATAACAAATGAATTAAATATTTAATCATTTATTATTTATAATTCATATAACACGTTGAAATACATTGAATAATATTAAAAGATAAAAGAAGAAGATAAATAAATCATTATAAATAAAAAATAACAAAATGAATTATATTTAATGAATTTAATATATGAATATGGTTATATCTAAATTATCAAATAGTAATTCATTAATAATAGATGTTTTGATTATCATTTAATACAATTTCATATTTTACATATTGTATTTTTAATATCAAATGATATGCAATGAATCAATAATAATTAAATAAAATTGTCAAGCTTTATATTTTTATCATAATTTGCAATATTATTTAGTATAAATCATTATTTAATGTTTAGTGAATAAGTTTTAATGTATATGATGATAAAAATCAATAAAAATATATTTATCTGATTATAAAATACAAAACAATGAATATCGTTATTATCAAAAAAAAAATATGATGACGAAAAGTGTTTGTATTGATTGTATTTTTATTTAACATAAAAATATAGTGAATGGTATATTATTTTATAGTTAATTTCTCTCTCAATCTTACAAATTATCACTATATTCAAGTCCAATTGAACAATATTTATATTATTGAACATATTTTGATTTAATATTAAATAAAATCATTCAATACATTATTAATAAATGAATTAATTATTGTTATGATATTAATCAAAAAATTAGTAATAATAATTGATAATTTTGAATAACATTGACATTTCATTATTTAATATTTTTATTATCATCATATCAATATTTTTTTTGTTGTATCAATCACGTATTGTTCATTCACTTGATTGAGTATTATTTATTCAATTAAAAATCTGAATGGATTAAAGTATGAATATAATTTGTGAAATACAATCTCATCATTTATCATTTCAAGATGTAAATCATTCTGACTATGAAATAGAAAAAAATATATTTGAATAACAATAAATTATGTATAATTTAATTGATACAATTATCAAATCATTTGACAATTCTCATTTCAATAAACGTTGAACTAGAAAAAGAGAATGCGAAGTAATAACTAATCGGATGAAAAACACTATCAAAACAATATATTCAAATACTACTCATATATTAATTATTTCATCTTTTAAACTGTCTGTATTTTGATTGTCACATTGTACAATGTATAATCAGAAAAAATGAAAGTAAATATTGGTTTAGAATATATTCAAAAAGAATAGACAATAAAAATAAAAGAAGTAGTACTATCTCATAATTTCATCAATTAACACAACTTGAACAACAAAATGAAATAATTCACAAACATGAAATAGAACAAATAAAAGTCTTATTGATTAATAAATACTTTTCAATATACAATATTATATAAAATATACAACACAGAATAAAAATAAAGAATAATAAATAAAGAATAAATGAATATACTCAATTTATTTTATTGATTAAGTGAAAAAGAAAATAATAATAAAATACAACAAAATAATATAAAATAATAATGAAAACTATATTTCACCTCATTTAAACTAAATAAATTATTATCATTACCATATGGTTTCAATTTTAATTATTACAGTAACATTAACCATACACTTTTACCCACCAGTAATTATTAAAAAATAAAAAATTAAAAAATAAGAAAAAAAAGAGTCAGGACGGAAGTCAATTTTAGACATAATGTTTTTCAATCATTTTTCAATAAAACTATAAATATCAAAATTTTCATATTTATTCTAAAATAAGGTTATAACAGTTCTAATTGCCTTTTTCAAATATTTAACTCTTTTTCATTAAAAAAAAAAGAAGAAAGGAAACTTTTTTTCTTAAACCATCTTCTCATGAACAATGTAGATACTGATATCATTCTTCAAAGAATGATTAAACTTAGTGAACTTTCTCAAGAAGATAGATTCTGGATTAAAAGTTGGAGTACAAAAAGGTTGATGGGACTTCGTCCATCAACAGTACAACAGGCATATAGTTCACCCGAAAATGAGTTTGTGTTATATCATTAAAAATAGGAATTTTGTTTTAATTGATTTTGTACTAACCAATTTCAGTGCATTTTTTCTCAGAAGTCAAGCAGTCTTGTTATTAGAATTGAAGTGTCCAGAAGACTTTACTAAAAAGTTGTTATTTCAGTCATATAATCCTTTTACTATAAAATATAATCAATTAGATTTTTCTGGTTCTCCAATATTTGAAAATGAAGTGAATTTATTTGGTTTCAATAAAATGGCAATTTGTTATAGAACAATTAATATTGAAATAGAAAACAAGTGTATTTATTTATTATGTAGCATCTATGACCCTCGTTCTTCAATTATGCCTTTTAGAGATGGTGGTCATTTAATCTGGTGTATTGTTTTTGAAAAACTTGCAAATACTCAGTTTCGTGTTACATATTTACTTAATTGTGTTGTTATTCCTTGGCTTCATGAAACAAACGTAGATATTGCCTTACAAAGACAAATGATGTTTTTAACACGGTTTTTCAAAACTTTAGTTGATCTTCCATCCAATATATCTGATGTTCCTGAATCAATTGCAGTAGAACGAAATGGGTATGAACATGTTCTTCCTGAAAGACCATTGAATGGAACTCTTGTTTGGGATAAAGAAAATACTCGTATTTCATTATTATCAAGAAACAAATCAGAAGCATCATATATTCTTCATGGATCATTTGAAATAATTAGTAAAAGAAGGTTTACAAGAGAGTCATTAGTTTCAATGGTTTTTGGTAAAAGATGTCATTTTATCAAATCACTTGGAGATGGTTCAACAATAGTTCATAAAGAGCCTTATAAAGATATTTCTTCTGACCATCTTAAAATTTCATTATGGATTTATGGGTCAGTATGTTCTTTAATTCATTTTCATTCAATTCACTCACCAATGTGTAGATTTGCTCATTCACAATTATCTGACCATAAAAGAGTATTTTTCTTTCAAAACGCTTATGTATTTTATTCAAGAGATGAAAATAATACTATTAAAATTCAATATAATTTGGATATTACAGTAAAAGAAGAAACGATGGAAGATACTCAATCATCTCTTAAAGTGTTTATTGAATTTTTAGAAAATATGAAAGAATTTCATTATGAACCAACTGAAAGTGAAACTTCTTCAGAAAATGAAGAAAAAAAATCACCATCATTAAAGATTGAATTAGAAAAATATGGACCAGATGAACATTCATTCTTTCCTCAACTACCTATTACTGCATTAAAAAAAATATGTGAATATTTAGATGAAAAAAGTGTTAATTCTCTTAAATTTTGTAACAAACATTTAATGCAATTAATTGGAACAATGATTAAGTTTGGAAACGATATATCTTCAAGTGAAGAAAGAAAAGAAACATCAGTGAAATCAGTGAAAGATGTTTTAAATTCTACAGAAATTGAAGATAAAATAACAACAGAAACCAACAAAAATAAGTGTAACTCTTGTAAGTTAAATTATGAAAGTCATAACACTACTAGTATAAATACACAAATTAATAAATTCACCAATAAAACCAATGATACAAATAATATTCAACCAAAAATTTATGAAGGACATACAAATATAATTAGAAGTGTAGATATTCATAGTTTTAGTAAAGCTATAGTTACTGGGTCTTCTGATAGAAAAGTTAGACTTTGGAAATATAACTCAAAAGAAAATTCACAAGTGTTCATTGGTCCAAATTCAAGTTTAGTTACCACAAGATTTGTAGATGATTATATTGTAGTTGCATATAAATGTGGAACAGTAAAATACATCCATCAAACAAATCCAAAAAGTAGTCTTGTATTTGATGTTCCTGATGGAAAAATGGAAGGGCTTTATCCATTAAAAAGAACACGATTTTTAACATGGAATGAAAGAGTTCAAATTGTAACTTATGAAGACTTTAAAAGAAATATTGAATTTACATATGATGGACACGTAAGAAAGATAAGTGTATCCAGACCATTAAATGATTGGTGTTTTATTAGTGGTTCAGCCGATAGAACAGTTCATTTATGGGATATTAGATCATCATCTCCTATGTTAACAAAATATAGACCTCACAAATCAGGAATTACTTTATTAGAAACGTTAAATGATTTTCAGTTTGCTACTGTTGGGAATGAAAAAATTATTTGTTTGTGGGACTCAAGAAAATTAGACCATTATTTTGCTAGTTCACCAAACAACACATGTGCCCTTGATGTTAGAGATAATTCTATTATATGTGGAGTTGATGGTGGATTAATTCAAATCCTTGATTATAAAGGGGTTTTAAGAAGATCTCTTACTTGTGGAGATTCTGTTGATATTAGTTCAGTAACAATGAGCAACCATGTAGTTGCAGTTGGTAGCAAGAGTGGAAAACTATATGTATTTGATGAAGTGTATTATTGAACTTTAATGCTTTTTAAATAATAAAATAAACAATTGATTTTATCATTCCTAACAATCAACTGAATTTTGTAATTAAAAGAAAGGAAAGGTTAGAAATTAGATACTTTTATTTTAAAATAAAGTCTTATTCTCTTATTTATTATTTACAAGAAGCTAATTGTATCACTTAATTTACTAACTTATTTAGAACTTATTTATTTTATATATATATGATAATTATATATTATCCATAAACTCATATCATCGCAAAACAAGAAGATTCTAAATATTCTATCTCAAAAAATAACAGCTGGTGAATTATCAAAAATATTTATCTATTTCTTTATCTTGTTACAAATGATTATAATAACATTTTATTATCACATATTACTAAAATTTTATTTTCATAAAAAAATAATAAAATAATAACATAAAAATAAACCCTTTAAATTTATTTTGTTGATAATGAGAATTTTGCATCATAACATGAAATTTCTGCTCCAGTAGGATCAGTAGCAACCATTTTAATTTTATAATTTCCTGAAGCTAACCATTCAATTCCATCAGGAATATCCAATGGTGGAATTGGAATAGAAGCAGTGTATCTACTTACTGGAATTGGGCATGAGCATGGAACTTTATCAAATCCATGGCTTCTAGTAGCATTCAAACATTCATCAGTAACATTAGCAAATAATTCACAAATATTATTATAAGTGCATGATCCAACATTCTTTGCACATGGAACAGTAACCCAGAAAAGAACTTCCTTTTGGAAAGTTAAAGCAACAGTGGCTTCAGTAATTTCTTTTGTTACTTCAATATCAAAATCAAGAGTAAATCCTCCTTGAATATTTATAGGGTTATCTGGTTGAATAGTCATTTGATGAATGATGAAAGTAGGGTTCTTTGCACAAGAAGTAAGAGTGAAAGGATATGTTTTAGCAGAGGCAAGAATAACAAGACCAAGAATCAATGCAAACATGATTAATTATCACTAAGATTTTTTTGATCTTTTTATATCATATCTCAAATTAAACCAGGCAATTGCCTATCCTATTAGTCAAATTTTTTTCTTCTTTTTTATATTCAATATGACTTTTTTCAAAAATAGACTAATCAAAAAACGTTTTTTCTTTTATTTTTAATTTTTTCTTTTTAAAAATATTAAATGTATTAGTAGAATAATAGTTTCTCTAATTTACACATTTTTTATAAAAAAAATCAAATTATAAGGGTAGCTCATTTGAAAATTCGTTTGGAATGGATTGTGGTTTTCGTTTTTGTTCCCGTGGATTTAATATGTTATAAAGAACAGTTGAACAAAATGGATAAAGAATACCAAAACTAATTCCAAAAGAAAAGAAAGCGCAAATACCAATTAAGACACCAAAGTTCATTGACACAACCAATGAAGTAGTCAATGCAATTAATAATAAAACAATAAACACTACGTGTTTCACATTCATTGAGACTATCAAATATAAATCTATTTTGTAATTTTTTTCTCTTTTTTTTTTTTCTTATCAAGTAAAGAAAATCAGTAGTATGCAAATGATTGATCCTCAAAAGAGATAATGTTACATGGATTAAGTTATTATTACAAATTAGTTAAAATGGAATAAGAATAAACAAAATAATTTCTGAGAAATAAATATAATTTTAAAATTGAACGAAAAAATGAAGAAAAAAAAAAGGAAAGAATAATAAAATAAAATAAAAAATGATTATTCATTTATTTCTTACGTGGATTAAAAAAAAAGAAGATTAAATAAAAAGAGAAATTATTTAAATATAAAAGATATTAAAAAGAAATAATAAAAAAGTTAATAAGTTTAAAATAGAAGAAATACCCTGATTGAATAAATAGGGAGAACTGATTTTGATAATTGCCACTTTATTAAATGTCAAGCAGTGATAATGAATTTGAAAAAGGTAATGCTGAACATTCTGGAGTATATCCATGCCAATGCTCTGCTTTAAGAAAAGGTGGTTATGTTGTTATCAAGGGAAGACCATGCAAGGTTTTTGAAATGTCAACTTCTAAGACTGGAAAACATGGACATGCTAAAGTTACTTATGCTGGTTATGATATTTTCACTGGAAAGAGACTTGATGATTCTTGCCCATCAACTCATAATGTTGAAGTCCCAGAAGTAAAGAGAACTGAATACTCTCTTGTTGGTATTAATGATGGATATGCATCACTTCTTCTTGAAAGTGGTGAAACTAGAGACGATCTTAAACTCCCAGAAGGTGAAATGGGACAAAAGATTCAAGCTGATTATGATGATGGAAAAGAACTCATTATTGCTATTCAAACTGCTATGGGTATTGAAGCCATTATCGATTATAAAGAAGCTAAAGACTAATTATACTAACTCTGCTTTTCTGAATATTAGATTTTATTTTTATTAAATAGTTTATAAAGAGTAAAAATAGAATTCATTCAAAACTTTGTTAATTTCTTTTATAGAATAAAATTTAAATGTTTTATTCAAATTTCTTATTTCATTACGTTAACAAATCGCTCTTTTTGATAAAAATAACTAAAAGAAAAGAACTGTAAAATATAACTTTTCTTATGAAAAAAGAAACTGTTCAAAAGATTTGTAAAAAAACTTGTAGAAAAACCTGTAAAAAAGAAATGAAGAAACCAATGAAAAAGATGATGAAAAAGATGATGCAAAAAATGTTAAGAAAACAATATTTAAAAATGCTTAAAACTTTAAAGTAATTAAATCTTTTCAAGATCAATTCTTATTCAGAAAATTTAAAATTGAATTAATTTTTAATTTATTAAATTGTTTAATAATTTTTTTAATTTTATCTTTTATCATGAAATTTTAAGAATTATAAAAAATTAAAATCTTTTTATACTATATTTTAAATTAATTAAATAATTACTAAATCAAGTAGTATTAGAATTGTTTTTTCTATTTCACTTTGCTCAAGTGAGAATGATCATGTTATTTAATATTCATACTTGTTTTATTTTCTTTATAAATGTATGGTATTATATGAAATATTCACTTTTATTTTCTATTCTTCTTTTGTTTTTATCATTTTCAATTTTATTTGAAAAAGAATACTTTCATTTTATTCTCTTGTTTTATTCTCCATTACTTCTTCGTTATATTTTAGTTATTCTCAATTCATTTATTAATTCATGTTTATTTTGTATCTTCTTATTTATATTATAATTTCTTATTATATCTTCATTTGTTGTTATTTATCATTACAAATATCACATCATATCATTTATTATTTGATGTAATTATTAATTTGTTCATTTCATATAAATCACTATTTTCTTTCATTAATTTCATTATTTATATTCATTTCTTTTATATTGATATTTTTATTATTTTAATTGTTATTTTTTATCATTTCCTAATTATTCTATGTTTTATTCAATGACTATTTATTTTGTTCAATTTCAATGTATTCATATATTCCAATACATCGATTTTTAATTATTTTATGAATGTCGATGTATTATTCTTCTTTTGTATAATTTGATATATTTCAATACATTCATTTTTATTAATTGTTTTACCACATGATTTATACAATCTTTTCAACATTCCATTCTTATTATTTTCAATATTTATTTTATTTTATTATCTTCTATTAATATTCATTTATTTTTTTTAGTTATTCATATTCATTACTATCTTAATATTTCATCATTGTGTTTTCTATATTTGATTTTCTTCTTATTCTCATATCTTATCTTTATCTTATTTTCATTTATTATTATTTATTTTATCAATCATGTGATTTGTCATTATTTCTTTCAATTTAATGAATGGAAATGAGTTTTAATTTATTATTCTACTTCTTTTTATTTACCATATCATTTTCTTATTTCTTTCTATCTTTCTTCTTGCTCTTTTAATAAATTCTATAAATTCTTCTTCTATGTTTATTTTGAGTCGTCTTTCTTTTCTTTCATCTATTATTTTGTTATTAATAAAATCGTTAATTAAGTGTTTATTATATTTACTCCATACCATAATAAATTATCATTTTTTCTTCCAATTTTACTAGTTTGTTTCTTTTTTCATCATTATTTCTTCTTCTTTGTTTCTGTATTTCTTTAGTTTTTTTATTTCTTTATTTCATTTTTTTCATTTCTACTTTGTCTTATTGCTCTTATATTGTTTCTTTAAATATTTCTTTTTGTTCTTCTTCTTATATATTTTCTCTTTTACTATTCTTTCAATTTTTTCACTTCACTTTGTGTATTCTTCTACTCTGTTTTTGTTCTTTATTTCTTTTCTTTTGTCTTTCTTTGTCTTCTTTTATAACACCTTTTACTCTTTATATCCTTTTCCATTGTCTTTGTTATTCTCATAATAATATTAATTAAACAAACTGTCTTCATTAAGGTAAATGCTGCCATGATAATTGCTTTTACCGTTAGTAATATTTTCTAAGCCTATTGGAAGGTGAAAAGTACTTTTTATAAGAATTTTGTGGCATTTTTGTAGTGTAGAAATGATATACAAGATAAATAAGAATATATTATTAATAATACAGAACATTAGAAGAGAAATTAATAAATGTAAAGAAGAGACATTAGAAAACAAACCAGTTGTGATAAGTAACGTTTGAACTTTTCATAAATTAACCATAAAATTGAAAGAAATAGAAAATGTTAATAGAAATAAGAATAAAACTAAGAACAATACAACACAAATGATAGACAATATGTACGAATTATAATAACTTGTATTTTGATGATATAAGTTCACAACAAAATACTCAAATAATACAAAGAGTGGTGACAAGTTTAATAATAATTATAGTACAGTGACATATTGAATTAATGAATATGACAGTAAATGTCGTTCATTAGATTATTTTCGACTAATGCAATTGTTCAGAGATAGTAAATGTTAGTAGAAAGTCAAAGAAATGAGAAAGAGAATATTAAATTAAATAAACAAAATATGAAAAACAAGAAAAAAAAACAAGAAAAAAATCATACAAAATGACGGAAGAAGTGTGGAAGATAAGAAATTATAACGAAGAAAAACATCAACTTTCTGATTGTTGGGAATTGTGGGTTGATGAGATGAGTGAATCCTTTTCATCTTCTGAACTGAATGCAAGGTCTATTGCTATATTTCAAACTGTTGAAGAATTTTGGAGTGTATATTCTTCAATGAGTTCATTACAAGTTATGCCAAAAGGAGTTGACGTTTATTTATTAAAGAGTGGAAATAGTCCAAATAATGGTCAAAAAATTATTCTTTCATTTAGTGAGAAAGTGAAAAGTGAATGGGATTTAATTTATCAACAAATAGTTTGTTTAGTTAATAAAAAATTCAAGTTATCAATTGTTAATGTTTATTAGGTATTATTGTGTGTTGGTTCTACAATCAGTTATTATACTTCATTAGTTGGTATATCATATAGTGTTGGAAGTAGTTTAAAAATATCAATATGGTATTCTGGTTCAAATGAAACAATGTTAAGTGATGTAGTTAGAGATATTAATTTAATTCCTAATATGGTGGAACACACAACTCGAATATCAATAAAGAATTAAAAAAGAGAATGTTTAGTTTTGAAATAATTAAGTTTTTAATGATTAAGACACATAAAATAAAAATTTTTCTACTAAAAAAATATTTGTATTAAAAAAAAAAATAAGAAATAAATTTCAATCTAATAAATTCATCTGCAAAAATTCATTAATATTAATTAACGAATGGATTCTTCTGCACCACCTGTTTGTTCATTTTAAATTATACTTAATTTTCTTATTTAACTGTTTGACTTACTTTTTATTAGCCAGTTCCACCTCGTAAATATTCTAAACCACTTGGTAATATTCAACTTTCATCATCATTACCTTCTTTTCAAGAATCAAGTACTGATAGTCAAGACAAAAAACAAATTTTTATTCCATCAATTACTTGTACACAACCATTTAAAAAAGAAAGTTCAACTTCTCCAAAAAGCCCACGTTCACCTCGAGTAGCTAGTGCACCACAAGAAAGTTTTAGTTTGTTTTAATTTTTACACTGATAAAAAAAGAGGAGGAGTACTTTAATAAATACTAATATTACAGAATTTATTTCACCAACTCCAGGTAATTTAATTACTTCAGGTAATGTTATTGCAGCTCATTTAAAAAAGTTTCAAAATGAATCTATTACTTCTGATAAAAAAGAAACAGATGAAGAGTTTTTTGCACGTATTAGTCAAAGAGAAATGACTGACAAAGATAAAGACCATTATCAACGAGTTATTAATGAATATAATCAAACCGAGAAAGCACACATTAGAGGATTAGAAATTATGAAAGAAGTATATTTAATTCCAATAAGTAAATGTGTTTCTAAAAGTGATGAAATATTTATACGTGATGTATTAACACAAGTTGATATTATTATTCAAGTACATCAAAATTTCCTTGAAATGTTTCAAAAAGGATTAAAAGAAACAAAACCAGGAGAATTACCAATGTTAGGTAAAGAGTTTGTGAATAATTTACAATTTTTAAAAATGGCATCTCAGTATATTGGTAATTATGATAATTATATGAAAAAATTAACTGAAATTACTCAAAAAGATTCTTCTATTGAAAAAAGTGTTAAGAAAGCAAAAGAAAAATTTGTTAATGAACATAAAGATGAAAATATCACTATAGGATCAATTCAACCATTAACGTTTTATCTCATTACACCTATTCAACGTATTCCTAGATATGAATTACTTATTAGAGATATGTTAAAAGATGTTGGAAGAGATTTTCCAGATTTAGAACAATTAAAAAAAGCTTATTTACAAGCAAAAGAATCAGGTAAAGGAGTTAATCAAGTTAAGATGCAATTAGAAGAAAATGAAAAATACACAATGGTAAGGGATATAATTAAAGGTGAATTAAAAATAAAAGATGAAGTTTTTAGAAAATTTATTTGTTGTGGACCAATGTATTTTATTGAAAATGTAAATACACCACCATCTAAATTAGTTTATGTCTTTTTATTTAATGATGTTCTTCTTGAAACAAAACCATTAAAAATTGCAGGAAAATCAGTTAATATTGAAGATGGAGAGAGTTTAAAGAAAGCATTTAATAATTTGAAAGAAATAAAAAATATTAAAGACTTAGAAACATATGAATTTGAATTAATTAGAGAATTACCGTTTACGTTAGGTTCATGTACATTTAAACCAATTAATGACACTAGTGAAGTAAAGAATTTATTTTCTATTTTATTAAGAGAATATAAAGTTATTAGAAATGTTGAAAAAGATTTTCCAACATTAGCCAAATATTCTACATTTACACAAGAAGAGAAAGAAGCATGGAAATCTATTATTTATGACCAATTTAGATATATAGATGAAATAATAGAAAATAAAGAAAAGGCTCAAAAAAGTAAAGGGGATATTGTTACTTCTGAATTGTTTAGAGTAGAACATATGAGACAAACTTCTTCTACAGCATCTTGTATTAATAATGACTCAAGTGCATCGAATACTGAATCTTCAAAACAAATATCAGATACATCATCAGTTTCAACTAATTCATCATCAGGAACATCAATTATTGGAACAACAAAAGTAAATAATAATGTTGTTCCATTAATATCACCAAATGAAAAAAATAAAAATTCACAGCAATTTAGTATTCAGTATATTTCTGATACTCCAGGTAATTTAATAACATCAGGAAATGTTATTAGTAGTATATGTAAAACATTATCTGATTTAGAAAACCAACATAAAAGCGGGAGTGATGAACAATTATTTAAATCTATAGATGAAAGGATAATGACTGAAAAAAATAACGAACATTATAAAAGGGTTATTCATGAAATGACTGAAACAGAAAAAATACATATTAAAGGATTGGAAATTTTAAAAGAAGTCTATTTATTTCCAATTACTAAATCAACTAATTCAGAAAGTGTTACTTTTGTTAAAGGTATAATTTCTCAAATAGAAATTATTATTGGAGTTCATAAAAAATTTTTAAAAATGATGGAAGAAGGAGAAAAGACATCAAATGAAGGAGAATTACCAATGTTAGGAGCTAACTTTGTCAAGAATATTCAATTCTTAAAAATGGCTGCTACTTATATTTCAAAATATTCCAGTTATCTTGAAGGTTTAACTGAAATTATGAATAAAGAAAAAGACGTTGTAAAAGCACAAAATAAAGCAAAACAAGAATATAGTAAATCACATAATAATTGTAAAATTGAATTAATGTCATTTTATCTCATTACACCTATTCAACGTATTCCTAGATATGAATTACTTATTAGAGATATGTTAAAAGATGTTGGAAGAGATTTTCCAGATTTAGAACAATTAAAAAAAGCGTATTTAGATGCTAAAGAATCAGGTAGAGGTGTTAATCAAACTAGAATGCAATTAGAAGAAAATGAAAAGATGTCTCTTATTCATCAAGTTATTAGTGATTTTCCAGAACTTCCTAATTCATCAGCTCGTAAATTTATTTGTTGTGGACCAGTTTTTGCTATTCAAAATATGAACGATTTTCCAAGTAATATTGTTTACTTATTTTTATTTAATGACATTATTGTAGAAACTAAGGTGGTTCGTTTTAATGGTGTTAAAATTAAAGAAGAACAAGGAGTTTTTGATCCAGTGTTATTTAAAGAATTGACTGAATTAAAGAATTTTGAAGAATTACATAATATTAAATTTATACTCTCTAAAGTTTATTATTTCCAAACACAATCTAAAGTTATGCCACAAGGTGATAGTTCTATGGTAAAACATGTCATGATGTTACTTGCATTTGAAAGTCCACAAAAAGAAAATGAAAAAACACCATTTGCTTTAATCAAATATGCTGCACCAACAGATGAACAAAAAGAAGTTTGGAAATCAGTTATAAATGATCAAATAGAAGCAATTAAAGGTAGAGAAGAAAAGAAAAAGAAAGCACAAATACAATTAAATGAAAATATTTCTGAATCTGTTAGTACTCCTGAGAAGAATTATTCTCATGTATATAATAGATTAACAATTAAGTATAAAGCCAAAGAAGTTGGGTCATTAGTCACATGTTCTGGACCTATTGTTGCTGTAGCTAAAAGGTTACAAGATAATTTTGATCATCCTGAAATAAATATTGAAGCATTCTTTAAAAAGATTGAAGAAAGAGAAATGACTCCAGAAGATGAAAGGTGTTATCTTAATATTATTCAAGAATTAGAAAATGGAGAAAGAGATCATCTTATGAATTTAAGAACACTAAAAGAAGTTTATTTAAATCCAATAATAAAATTAGTCAATAAAGAACATGCCACAACAATAAATGAATTAATTCAACAAATTGATGTAATGATGAATATTCATCAGAATTTCTTAGATACTTTTGTTAAAAGTAAAGAGACACAACAAGGGATACCTGGTATTGGTTCAGAATTTGTTAAAAATATTCAATTTTTAAAAATGGAAGCAACATTTGTTAATAATTTTAATACATATCAAAATGTGTTAGATGAAGTTTGTAAAGACTCATCTATTATAAAAGCACAAAATAAAGCTAAAGAACCATTTATGCAACAAACATTAGAAACTGAAATTCATCCATTTATGTTTTATCTTAATCGTCCACTTGTTCAAACACCAAAATATGAGTCATTAATTAAAACAATGTTAACTCATGTAGGAAAAGGATTTTTTGAATTAGAATTATTAAAGAAAGCATATTTAGATTCAATAAAATGTTCAGACAGTGTAAATATAATGAAAACAAGAATTGAAGAAAGTGAAAAATATCTAATGATAAGAAAAACAATTATAGGACAATTTAGTAATGACACTATTATAGCCCGTAAATTTCTTTGTTGTGGTCCGTTATTTATTGTAGAAAAAGTTACAGAAATACCACAAAAATGGATGTATTGTTTTTTGTTTAATGATAGATTAGTTGAAACAATGCCAATTAGTATTGATAATAAACCAATTAAGGATTTTGTTGACGCATTTGCAAAATTAAGAAATATGAAAAAAGTAGAAGAATTAAGTAATTGGCAATTTGAAATAATAAAAGAATGTATATTTAATACAGAGACATATGTTGAATATTGTTCACATGAAAATGTATGTAAAAATCTTGTAAATTTAAAGATATCTCAAATACCATATAGATTTTCATGTTCTACTTTGTTAGAATCTGATACTTGGAATTCTATTATTTTTGACCAAGTTGAAAGACTCAAAAATATTGCTCAAACTAAAAGAAATAGAAGAAATGCTGGACTAGACTTTGAAATTGGACTTCATAAAAAAACATTAAGTTCATCAGTTATTTCTATTAGTAGAACTCGGTCAACTGATACTTGTGATGATTTTAAATCAAATACCAATAACCTAGAAAATAAAGTTCCTTCTCGAGACTCTCCTTCTTCTACACCTAGAAGAGCTCGTAGAGGAAATGAAGATGATAGGATGAAAGAATTACAACGTCTTCAACAAGAACAATTAACTGAAAAACATGGAGATAAAAAGAAGAAAGAGAAAGAAAAAGATAAAAAGAAAAAGTAATAAGTATTT